CGGGCTGGAACGTAAAACAAACAAATCATTCTCCATAAAGGAAAACATCTCTTAACACCCTCTCCACTTTTGCCTGCCTTACGCCGACCTGTATTCCCAGTGAGAAAATGATCTATGATGACGACGTCATGAGGGCTTTTTTTTATGTTTGTTTTACTTGTTTACATTTGTCAGAGGCACTCTCAAGGACATTATGTGTGTTTCATGATGTTAAACCAGTGTGCGCTCGTCCGCGCGCACTCACTCAGAGGCATTCACAGCTACACAATCAAAGAAACAAACTAATGAAGTCTTTCGGAAACAAACAACTTGATTAAGACCCAGGAGGGGCGAGAATCAGGTGTGAACACCGTGGGTCATAAAATCATGTGTGAACCAATGCCAGAGCTGTGTTTTTAAAGATGCGGCTTGTCTGCTTTTAAGAAGTGCTCCGCATCCTGTGGGAGTTTGTTTGGGCATGTTGTCTCCAACATGGCTCCTCTCTACCTGGTTATCAACTCCTGGCTACGCACACTAGCAGGGGAGATGAGCGAAGCTTTGCCTTTGGGAGGCACATGTCTGTTTTGCTTGAAGCTGCATTTCTTCAGTGTCTACTGAGCAGTACCCTTCCTTCAGAAGAGAGAAGTAAACCCTGCTTATAAGGGAAACAACACAAAAAGCGAAACAACACATATTTTGTACTATAGAAACATTAGTTTAGTGATAATTAGATGTGATGCTGTAGTTTACCAGAAGCTCATCTTTACTTTTATACCAGTTCTTGGGAATGTACTTTGATCCGCTTTAAACATTTAAACAAATTGCATTTTAATTGTGCACATATGCTTAGCAGTAATATTCTCAGTCTTCTTAACTGTTATTTTCACTGCTCCAGTAGTCTGTCCCCAGGAATGCAATCAAAACTAAAGGCACTCCACAGTGATTTGTTTTACTCGTGTCAGTTTGGTCTTAGAGGAAAAATAATGAGCTGAGTCGATTTACTTTATTATGCTGTAAAGACTCTCCAGTCCTTCAGAAGACTGTAACAGTAACTTACATGGTGATAATAATTCAGTCAAAGTTATAGAGCTTGTTTCAGCCCGCCTGTGCATTTACAGTTGTTGGTCTTATTTCCCAAGTTGGAAAGTTGTTTTTCCATCTTCAGTGCTGCTCAGAGCATCTAAGCACATAAAGCTTTGCTTTACCTGGTATTGTTTAACAAGGCCATTGCTTTTCTCAGTTACTTGTCACCCAGAGCTTGAGTGGATACCACAGGTCGCTTGGTGGGAGGCAGCCTGTCCCCAAACTGTTGTAGTCTGACTGAGACTGACTGGAATCACTCTCAGACAGAGTGGCAAAGGTTTGTGAATAAATCAAATGCTGGAATTAATCTGCATCATCATCTGGCTGCCAGCTGGTTGGATTCTGTTTAAATTATTTTATTAAAACAAAGTTACAGCACGCCTATATTTTAATGCAGTTAAATTGCCATTTCACAGCAACTACACCACTACTTATAGAGGATAGTGTGTTTCACATTTGAGGTTCTGGCTGATTTCTGAATGTAAATAGCTAATGTGCATTTCTGCTTAAAGAGTTTTACATGTTCTCCCCATGTCCGTGTGAGCCCTCTCTCTGTGGTCTGGCTTCCTTCCACAGTCCGGATACATGCTGTTAGCGGGCTTAGGTTAGTTGGTGATTCTAAATTATCTGTGGGTGTGAATGTGAATGTAAGTGGTTTGTCTGTCTCTCTGTGCTGGCCCTTCAACAGTCTGGCTACCTGTCCAAAGAGTATCCTGGCTCTTGTACTATGATAACCTCCACCCTCACTGTGACCCTGAATTGGACAGGTGGAAGAAAATGGATGGATCGCAATAGATTTGCAACAGATCTGGGGACTGCAGATTTATCAGAGTTTGGTGTATTATCACAAACAGATTGCATGTAATGGCCAATTTGATTGCAAACTGATAGGAGACTGGTTCCACCTTATTGCCATCTTGACTAACCCAAGATGTTTTGAGGACAGCAGTTGACAGACCTGTTCCCCGTCTCTCAAGCAACTGTTTCCAAGCAAGCAAACTTCATTTCACACGGTCACAATAAATGTGGTTGTGTCTCCAACCACTGCTTAAACTAGTGTGACTGTAGCACAATAGTGCTTTCATCTTCTTTCTTCAGGTAATAACATAAACAGTACTGTATTACAGGTTAAACACATTTTTGATGTCATCAAAGTTAAGAAACCACAATGAAATTTAACATGCACGGATGGGAACATATCATTTCCCGATTCTCAACTGACTTAAAAAAATGTGTACATCCTTCCATTTAGTGTCGCAGAGCCCTCTCAGTCCGAGAGAAACTACTAAAGAAAGCTGCAAGTGAGCATCAGCTGACACACACAGTACAAAGAGTAAAAAGTCCATTAGAGATAGAGAGGCCAACACAGTACTCGGGAGAAACTTCCAGAAAGGAAGTGATCCGTTGGCCGTTAAAGAATTTTTCACTCATGGGGTCTACAGCTGGTGGTGGCGTGGTTACCATGGAAACTGACATTCCCTTGAAGGTACTTAGCAGCCACTGGCAATCGTTGAGCTTGGGTAATGGTTTGAAATTCTCTGTAAAGTGGCTCAGAGGTTGAGATTAAATTCAAACTGTTGGCAGTGGACTCACGCAGTGACTTATCACATTGTTGTAGAGTGAATGATGCCCTTTAGAGAGGGGGAGATACAGTATCTGTATCTGCAACCTGTTGCTCGCATCATCACATTTTTTTTAATTTTGGCTCTTTAGTTTCTGGCTGCCTCGTTCAAAAAACACCCCAAAACACCACTCCTTGCATCGTCAGTCACTGAACTTTCATTCATCGATTAGTCAGATGCGATCACGCCACTGCTTTTACATCCACTGTTGCACAAAATTTGCATTAGTTCTGTGCAGATACGCAAAATATTAACCGTTAAAATAGCAGCATGTGCAGCACATTTTTTCACTGCCAACCACCCTCCTCGTCCAATTTTGCCACAGGCCTTTGCTCCATCTGAATGAGTTCTCCTTAACAACTGCTGAAATGATTATGCCTCCAAGTGCAGAACACTCCAGCCGTATGTGGCAGGTAGTGTGAAGACATGCTGCTGACGGTCCTGTGAATGTCAGCAGCTGAAAAGGATCAGCCGTGCGAAGCATCAGCCTCACACCTCCGCTTGCATCACCTGCTCATGCAGAAAATATGAAATATTATTACTGTGTGCGCTCGTTTTTCTTGTTTTTGCTCGCTTGTTTGCTTGGGTTTTTATTTTATCTCTTCACACATGAAGAGAGTGTAAAGTGCTTTTCTACTGACCAAGTACATGACTATATGTTCGCAGGATTATAAGAACTCAGCTCTTAGCAGAACGTTTGTATTGGTAAACTAAAACAGAAGTACTCAGGCATGATGTTTTTGCTATATGAGCCATAAAGCTTGTTAGCTTTGGGGTCCCTACAAGGGGAAAAGAACTTTAATCCTGTAACATGAAGGTCTTTTATATGTATTTTTAGCAACACATAAACCTGTACGGAAAAAGCATACACATCTTATTGTGTTCATGTGTGCGTATCCGTAGAAGATTGTTAAGCTTATTTGTATGCTGCAGAAGCTCCTGTTGTTTCTAGGGCTCCTGTAGCCTGGGTGGTCAGTCTCTCTCTGTTCAGCTTGAAAGCATCAAAGGTTTTCAGCAGAGGACAGATTGAAACTGCCAGTGTTGCCTCTTTTCAAAATACTCTGAAGGCAGCTACAGTGTGGGACAATGACGCAGTGTTTTGCATGAAAGGAAGCGATATCTTAGCAAGTGAATCTTTTAAATTGAAAAGTGTGAGAAGTCTCGTGAAAGTAGCAAAGGGACAAAAATGCCCAGTTAACCCCGCACACACGCAATCACTCTCTTCCCCCCCCCCCCTTCTCTCTCTGAGGATGTTGTGTCAGTTAAAAGCTTTTATCACTGATTATAGCGTTCAAAGCGCTTTAAGCGAAGGTAAAGATCTCAGACACTCACTGCAGCTTAGCAGATCGTGTCAATCCAGCACCGGACCATTTCACTGAGACGGCAGATGCAGCGGGCATCTGTTTGCACGTTGTACATACCGACTGGATGACAGGCTTCTTCCATCAGCTTCAGAACAGAAAGCAGTAATTGGGGGCACGGTGATTGCAGGGAATGTGTTGTTTCACTGGCGCAGTTGGTGGATACATATTGGCGTTTTGAGGTGTATAAAAACTGAATCCATAATAGGTTTAAGAATTAAGAAGTCTTTAACTTTAACAGTCCTTTAACGAAAATAAATGATCAACAAAATCAACACCGGTTCAATGTGATGATGAACTTAGAAACAATGATATTAGCGGTGTGTCAAGTGCAATTGCCCTCACCTTCAATTTCCAGGTGGAATTGAAGGGCAGCTCATTATCGTCTGAGAAGATGATGCAAAAAACAAATTTCTGATTTGCGGTTTGATTGCCAGCATGTTCTCAGTTCGTTGGAAAGGAAGTTCTTTTAAATGTGTGTGTTGCAGCAGGGAACACGTGACATTGCATTTATCACATGCAAATGTTTTTTTTTTTGTAGATATGCATCCATGCTCAATAATTACTTTATGCATACTGCCGGGGAAGGATTTAATTAACTGCCCCCCATGTCAGGGTAGATAATTAGCCAATAACACACATGCACAAACACACACTTTCTCTCTTATGCACACAAAGATTAAGTCACAATATTTGAGACTTGAATGCCACTGGCTTACTTGCTGCCACAGGAACCTAAAGTCTTGAGTAGCAGTTGCAGGGATATCAAGAAAAGATGCAAGAAGCAACTGAGCATGGCGCAGGTTCTGTCTGCCTGCAGAGAGATGCTAATGTTGATTTCTCTGTTTCATCAGTGTGGTGGTGCACTGTGTGATTGGCTCAGCTACACTAATGCTCACTCACAAAACACAACAGTAATTATGCCTTCTTTATTGTCTTGTCTCTCTCTCCGCAGGTTCAAGGTTTGATCTACACACAGGAAAAGGTAAAAAAAAAAGCTCAACTTATTTCCAGATCTCTGTCTTTGCTCTTTTCTTCCCTTCCTGCACACAGGGGGAGACAGGATGATTAGCAAGCATTAGTCTGTATCTCTGTTTGTGTGTTTTCAGGTTTTGTATGTGTGTGGATGGATATAACCGAATTATTTGGGAGATTTGTGGACTAGTTTGCCTTTGTTTTCACTGCACACACACACAAACACAGACACGCACATGCACGCACATAGCTCAGCAGGCTGTTGTCCTAATCACGGTGAACATAAAATGTGGATTAGTGGCGGTCTTATGGTATCAGTCATAATCACACACAAACAAATGCTCGAGCACATAGGCACCTGAAAGCAGCACGTTTTAGGTCTTCACGTCATTGCCGATCACCCGTTTCAGTTTCTAAATATAATTCTGTTAAGTTTTTTGAAAGGCCCGATTCTGTGACACTCAACAGGACATTTCTCCCAAGTGATTTCTCTAAACGCGTGAGCATAACTGAACATCAGCATTTTATCTGTCCTCAGAGTCATTGTGTTGTTTATGATGACAAATATAGCCGTTTTTTGGATTTTGCTACCCAGGCAGTATTTGATCATTATCGTGATGGTGCACCTACAGCTCTTTTTGGTCTATTTCTGGCAGATGGAGTCTGTAACGGTTTATGTCTGTGGCCTTCCCTCTGTAGATCACAGAGTATTTTAGTCCAGAATAATCCCCACCATCTGCTATCTCCTCTACTACATTTTAGTGCTCACTATCTCTCTGTCTATCCTTCACTCTTTCCTATTGCTTTTCTTCTTTCTGTTTTTTCTTTCAGTATTTCTCTGTGATCCCTCCCAGCTTTTTTTTTTTTTTTTTTTTTTAAATGTCATGACCCTCTTCCTCCCACATTCAGCCTTTCAATCTCAGCCATGTCCCAATCCGACTGCTCCTTCTTTCTCATGGGTTTTTCATTTTCTATCTTATTGGTTTTGAGTTTTCCAGTTAGTTATTTTTATATTATAGATCTATATTTTGTATTTGTTGTTATTCAGGCTTTTGTTATTATGTGATTAAGTCAGTGTTCATCATCACTAGCTGGTTCCTTCTCTCGTGTCTAGTTTCCTGTGTTAGTTATTGGTGTCTCTCTGTGAAGTCAGTCTTGTCTTCATGTTAATTTGTATGCCTGTCATGTCTCTGTGTTGTCTATCATGTCTGTTTATGAATGTCAAGTTTGCTGTCGCTCTCTCGTGCACGCTCTTCCTCTGTCTCTCTCTCTCGTCCCTTGCTCTTTAGCTTTCTCTCTCTGTCTTTCAGCTCTGTCTGCCATGTGTGTGCTTTTGTCTTCCCACATCAAGTTGTGTCTTCATGAGTGTTTCTCTCCAGTCCCTGTATCAAGCCCACATGTCTAAGTGTGCTACTTCCTGTTTTACTTTGATAGTCTTCTGCCTTGCCTGTATCATGTTCAGTTTTGCTTCCATAGTCTCGATTTAAAGTTAAGCTCGATTTGTGTCAGTTTGTTCCCACCTGTGGCCTGTTCCCTTGGTCTCTTGTGTGTATATATATTGTGTGAGTTTGTGTGCCAACCTTCTAGCTGTGCGCTCTGAGTGTCTGTGTTTCTTGAGCCGAGTAGTTCCCCGTTCCAGTTGAAGTTGAGTTTTTTGTATCTTGCGTTTTTGAGAGAGTTTTGTCCTTACCTTTGTGATTTTTGGGGTCCTGTGTTTGAGTCCTAATCTGGCTGCCACACAGCTGATTAAAACATTTTTTTTCTATGCTTACTGTTTTTCCTTACTTGTTTCTTGTGCTTCCTGTTAGCATAGCTTTACATCTGTCTTGTTCTTTCTGGATGTGTCCACTCCTTTGCTTTCCCTTATTTATCCCTGTCTCTGGCCACACACACGCCCAGTCCGTCCATGCTACACAGGCAGTTAAATCTTAATCTGGGCTTGCATGAAAAAACGCGTCCTCTAGTTTGTAACTGAAAAGTCCTAAAAATCCACTCTATTAGAAATGTAAAGAACTACATTTATTTCCTCATTATGTTCGTTGGTCGCTGTAAGTCAAGAGGTTAAGTGGGTTAGGAAGGTTGGTGGTTCAATCCCTGGCTACTTTTGTCTACATGCCAAATATCCTTGGGCAAGATATTAACCCTAAGTTGCTCTCCGATGCATGTGAATGTATGTGAATGTTAGATAGAAAGCACTTAAGCATAGAAAAAGCACTTCTATGACTGGGTGTGAATAGGTGAATCAAGTATGTTCTATTAAATTCTTTGAGTGCTCTGGGAGAGTAGAAAAGTACCATAAAAGAATCAGTCTATTCCCCATTTATTCCAGCAAAACATCTCTGAAGGTTACACTCATCATTTGTATAGCCATTGAAATTATTTACGAAGGCTTTTCCTTCTTCATAACGACACGTCCACGCTCCCTTTAAGCCAACTTTTTCTTCTTCTGTTCTCTGTCCCTGGCCTGGTTCTGTAAAAAGAAGAGGAAAAAATAACAACATTTAAAATTACCACTGAATTAAAATTGAAATTCTCAAATCTGTTAGGGTGCCTGAATCTACTCCACAGTATGAGAGTGCACGGCACTCAAAGCAAGCAAGCAAAGTTCTGCAACAACAATGATTATAGCAGGGTATTTTTATTCAGTAAATATACCCTCATTTCCTGCTTATTGTGGGACATAACAGTGAACTTAGTCATTCAATAATACAGTAGGCTATATAAAACAGTGTTATTTATATATGTCTCTGTCAAAAGGTGCATATGGGTGTTCAGGTAGCAAATTAAAATGTCATCCTCTTATTTCCTTTTTTGTATTTCCTACTGCAGAGTTGCTTGTGGCAAACTGGGACTTGAGTTTGTCTGTTTTCAAAGAGAAAGTAGTCCCTTTTGCAACTGAAG